ACATCATCGTTTTCTCGACATAAAAAATTGAAAACTACATATTTATGATCACCTCTTCGAGTTCTAGGCAATAATGTATAAATAAGTCAAAAATAAAATACTGCTTCAACTTTGAATGAGCGCACCTTGCAGATAGATGGATTCTTCAAATATTTCACCGCCACTAGATTCAAGTTAGATAAATGTACCTTTAATCTAGATGTAAACAGCCAATTTACGACTTATTTTCCTAGTTAAGTAGAAGATACTTTACGGTATACGCCCCGCAGTGTGCATCCAGGCGGACTTGTGGTGAAAAATTGAAAGTGTGCTTTTCGGTGATTCAAATAGTGATTTATATACTTTGGATCACGCTCTATTCGATGACGAACAAATTTTTTCTTAGGGCATACTTATGTTAGGAAAATCATATAGACAAAAATTACGCTAAAAAAGAGCCACTGTCGGAAAACTGAATTAAACGCAAAAATAAGGCAACCGGTCAAACAAGCAAATATATATTCTTAATCTTTGTCAAGTCCTCTATCGATTGATAAACAGAATTTATAGTTTATGAGTTTTCAAGATGGAAAAAAGTTATTGTAAAAAAAAGTTACTTATTAGCAAGTTTTCCAAAGAGGTGCATTTAGTAAAGTACATGCGCGAAGAAAAGCGAAACTCCAATTAAGATGAAAATTTCAGGAAATGTTGAGCGATACAGGACACGTGCACCCAGTTAGCAAAAAGTAGCGAAAAGTTTCATGTCCTGAGTTGCAGGTTTTCCAAAAACCACTAGTTTTTGAAGGTATTTTCCATTTATCTCAGTCGAGAAATGTTTATATTATATAAAAATGCCATATTCGGAATCAGTGCAAAAGACTACGTCGAATGATATATAACTTCTTAATTTTTCTGCAGAAATATTTTCGATCAAACTGAATTATAGAGTTGAAAGTCTCACTGGAGCAAATTTTTTCTGGGGATTTGGATATTTGTTTTAGCAAGAGTTCGAAAGTCTATAAACACTTTCTTTATAGGCTTTCAGATATGCTCTTTCCAAAAGAGAGCCTCATAAAGTTCCAGAATACTTATGTGTGGGTTTTCTAGAGATCTGGTTTCTGACGAACCCAGATGAAAGTCTCTTGGAACTTTGTAAAACGCAGCATTGGAAAGAGCATATCTGAAAACGTATAAAAAAAGTGTTTATAGACTTTCGGAATGCTTCCATAGCACATGTCCGCCTGGCTTATGGAAAAATGCACAATGTGCGTTCTGAAGTTTTTTCGGTTTATTGGGTGTTGTTATTATTTTCTCTTGTTCAGTGAGTTATATTTAAATAGTCATTCTACTATTTCTCCACTTTTTCCAGTAGATATATATAAGTATGCGCTTGTTCTTTCCATTTCATTTTTATAAAGTTCTTGCGTCGAGTAAACTTCATCTTTTCTCATTTTCGTTTGTTTATGTTCATTTCCTTTCTATTCCAAATTAGCCTTGAAAAACCGAAAACAATCTATTCAGCGATGACTGACAGTTAAACCAGTGTTAGTGCTAACATTACTTGGCTGGGAAAAAATTAATTACTTCTAAAAACGAATATTGTCAAACTTTTGAACACTGGACTATTGTTAAGAAAACTCCTGTTCGTTCTTCATTCATCATAACAACTTGGCTATTGAATAGATCAATAGAGCAATTAATAGACAATATTCACCACGAGAAAATTGGCAAATATTTTTGTTCTTCCCTTGACTAATTATTGTTACCTCAGCCTGCTTCCCATTTCCATAATAACGACTCAATGAAACGACGCAATCAATACCTCATTTGACAGATAATTTCGCTAGCTGCAAGACAGATGACCTTAAAATTTGTAGAACTCGTTTTTGACTGCTCAGTAATTCTGACCTGGCTACACTAATGAAAAAATTTAAGAATATTTTCTTAAGTAATTAGTTATTTTCTCAGCTAGATAATGTCAGTAAATCAAAAAAATTTAGAAAATATACTCCGACGTATCCTCTACAAAAAGTGGGAAAGTTTGAGTAAAAACACTCAACACTTAAACTTTGGATAAGACATTTTCCCACAGCACCTTACAGTTAGTTTCGTTCAAAGCAAGCATTTCTGAGGAAAAATTTACGTACAACAGTTGTTCAAAATCAAACCCTAAAGTCCCTCACGAGATCTTCATTCAAACTTTTCCTTTTTAATTTTAAATGAACTTCTATGGTCAATTTATGAAATCAAAATAAAGAAACAATGTAACAATGAAAATTATTTTCCGTATGCATAGCTATGAAGAAGATTTTAGAAGCATATAGACAGAAGTATCCACTACAAAACTGAGAAAACAGGTCTAGCGAGAACTTGAGAAAAGTTCCTAGTGACTAGGCATGCAACGGTAGCGGTAAAGCCGGCAACGGTACTACCCTTACTACCGCTACCGTTTTACCGGTCACCGTAGGTAACCTTTTCCGGATAAAACCTATTGTAAAAAATCACACAGTTGCAAATGTAACTTAACTCAGCCTTCAATAACTCATAGACACATGAAAGAATCAAAATTCGTGAACCTTAGTAAGCCGAAATTAGATTTTGCGAGTTGCTCAGGTTTCATCCACTGTTTATGTAAAAACAAAATTAAACAAAACGATAAAAACCATTATTTCTTCTTATTATTTGAGACTGCTTAAGCCAATTAAATGCAGAGAAAGTAAAATGTAGAATAAAGCATCAAAATCTGTTACAATAACGACATCGTCATATGCTCTACAGAATTTCACTCTCTCTAAAATCGATACTATCTGTCCGCAATGAACGATAAAACCTGTGGGTCGATAATGGCAGTAGAACAGTACCGGTAGAACGGTAGCGATAGTAAAGGTAGAACGGTAAGAGTAGTACCGGTTACGGTAAACCGGTAAACTACCGCTACCGTTGCATGCCTACTAGTTACATTTGTTTTCAAGCACACAAACTTTTGAAAAAAATGATCGATTTTAGCCAAGTTTACCATGTTGTCAAAGTTAGTTTATGACCTTATGATTTATTAGATGAATTATATTATTATTACTTTATTGAGTGCTTAGCTAAGAATCGATTATTCTCTCAAATGTTTGGGTATTCCGAAAAGAAACATTGCCATGAACTTCAAAACTATGTTTTTATGTATCTAATGATTGAAAAACATGTGTAGCATTCGAATGACGGATACTAAACGTTCGGCACATTATAGAAAAGAATGTGATTTCTGGGCACGAGAGTTCCCGTGGCCGCGGGCAGGCGCGTACTGCCCACGGGTACGAACAAACATCCCAGAAAGACATACGGGCATGGGCAGAAAAACCTTGCCCGTACAGATCTCTGGTCTGATTGTGTAAATCCACATGTGAGAAAAAGTTTCACACTTTAGAACGACAGAATAACTTGTTATATGACTAAAAGAAAGATTACTAAATAGATACATTTAAAGACGTCTTGTGTCGATGAAAACATTTTGATATACCTGTCTGAAATATTGAATACATTTATTTTCTCACTTAAACGAAATTACAAGAGGAAATGTTGTTGTTTTCTCTCTTAATGTAATTTATGAGAAATTATTGCTAGGAAAAATGTTATTGATCATCTAAAGAGTTTCTACATTCGGAGAGCACTCAACGGTGAATATTTCTTATATCTAAAAACGGATTATGTCGTCGAATCAACAAAGGATAGTCGCGTCCTTACACTTGATTTGGATTCACTACATACAGCGATGCTTAATAGAGCTTCCGCGACTATTTGAATGATCTCAAACCACAAATGAACAGTCATAATTAATCTATTTCTGTATACGTACCATCTTGCGTTTATTTGCACCTTGAAATTAATAGAAGTTCATTTACATAAATGAAAAACGATTATCTAATTAAAAATCTTGTGAGATATGGTCATTTTTCTTTTTAATAACCCAACTCTAGTGCATCTTCTCGCAACCAAAATGACTTTCAAAATCTTTTGAAAAATAGGTCATTGTGACGATCATCAGAAAACTCACTTGATCTGGCAAAAACCAACGTGAGAATATTTTATGTTTTTTCCATGAGAAAAGTGTCCTCCTTGAAACGGCAGTCAACCAAGACTTTGATTTTCAGTGATTCGAATATGGAAATGATTTTCTGAAAGTCTTGTGACTAATACCCAGCGACTGTTGATAGCATGGACATCAAATGGAACATAGACAACCGACTACACTCAATCCTGTGGCAATATTTGCTTTTTAAGAAAAAGTTCAAGAACCCGAGGAAAATTAACTTCGTGTAACGTAAAATAGCCCATTTTAGATCATTTTTATCTAATACTAGAACATTTATATCTCAATCAAAATTGATCATAACGATCTCAACACTTGAGAAGATACACTATTTTTGGACTGCTCTAAAGTGGAGAGTTAAAAATAATTTCGATTTTTTCAGAATCACGATAACTGACCGAAACACAAAAACTGATTTGAAAAGCTAAAAGAATTTCTGATCAGAAGTGGTGCATATGAAATTTTATCAACATTGCTGAAAACCTGATCTTTAGAAAGTTCTAATTTCCTAAGTGTCAAAGTTCGAAGGAAAACTTTTCGGAAAAGCTCATTTGATTAGGGCAAGTATTTCTGAACAAAAGTAGACGTTGCCGAGCTCTCCACGACATTTTTCATCAGACTGTATTTAATTTGCGAAAGGCTCTTCTACATCATAATCAACAAGATTAGCAGAAGAACGATGAGTGTATCTTCTCAAGTGCTGAGGTCGTTGTAATCAATTTTGACTGAGATATGAATGTTCTAGTATGAGGTAAGAATGATCCAACATGGGCTATTTTAAGTTACAAGACGTTAATTTAAACTTTGCAGACTTCTATCATGTTTTACGCTCGAGTTATTCCAAAAAATGACCGTCACAGCATTTTGAAATAGATAAGAGTATTAAAATTGCATACCATAACATTGAGGTAAAAGTGTATCACTTGCAAAATGTATACCCCAAAACATTGATGTTCCAATCATTTCATACGTTGAACTAGCTAACGCTGCAGCGTTGAATTGCATTTCGCCACTGTGTCCCATAAAGATTTGAGAGACAAAAAACATTAACCACGTTTCTAACCAATAGTATTTAAAAACACAAAAATTTTTCTAGTATATACGAGTCACATGAACTATACCATTAAGATCAAAGTGACTTTAAATACTACTTACCTAGTATGCCACTGAATACAAATGGAAGAGCAAGGAAAACAAGTTTCTTTGTTTCTGCCAGAAAACCAATTGGATATAAATTTGTTTTCAAACGTTGCAGCGTCGAGACATTTTGGTTATCTAAAACGGGTGGTGCTGTTGCTAGATCCTCCGCATTATCATCGACTATTTTAACGTCGGCATTTGAAATAGTAGATGCCATAAAATTCAGGATGTCTGAAAGAGAAAAATCCGTAAATAAATAAACTATAAAATAACGAGCACATGCATTGAGTAATCTGCTTCGAGTAAAACATTCAAATCAAGAGTTTACTCGATTTCGACTATTTAATACATCAAAGTAATTCAACGCAGTATGTATCATTTCGATAAAAAAATAGGTATTATTTGTGGTCAATTTAATGAAATGAGTTCAAAAGTCATGCGCACCGTAGTTAGGTCGACTGCCGATACAGAAATGAATCACACGGTGACGAAACACACTCTCTGATGTTGTTTATAAACAGCGACTATAAATTATTTAAATCGCGCTGTTAGACAGACAAGTAGCGTTTCATTTGCGATTTACGAATTCTTGATTGAAAATGTTTTCCATATTCTGAAAGTAGAAAGTTAGATCGATAAAGCAATGCAGAAAAGTATGATTCAAGAACAAATCGAATAATTGCATTTAATTTCGTAGTACTATCAAACTACTCGTCTTCGACAAGTCATCGCCCGACATACTCAAAAGACATTTTTAGTCAAAAAATAAAAATCAACTCGAAATGAAGTATAAACAATTGCGCATACTTATGATATTAAGTCGAAGTGTATGGCACTTCCTAGTTTTTCTACAACATTTTTTTTCAAAAATATTATTACTAGAAAATTAGTTTTATATACAATATATTTTTCAAATTTTTAATCCTTTTAGTTAACTGCAATAGAAAATAGCTGGGTTGTTTCAACGCGTTAGTTTTTAAAATTAAAATTAAAAAAATAAAATTCAACATCAAACTAAATTCTGATATATGTCTGTATGCATACAAACGACTATACAATCTAGTAGAGTAACAAAGCAGAGAAAGAAAACAACTTGTACTTATATGACTTCAGTGTGATTCGAACGTGGGTACCTAGAATCAAGAAGCAAACACATAACGATCTGAGCTAACAGACGATCGAAACATATACCATAACAATGCTATGTGTTTTGATCATCTCAGTCAGATGAAAGACAGCGTTTGCTTCTTTATTCTAAGTTTCATTTACAAAATAAACAAATCTTTCAAAATAAAGTATTTTCGCAGACAATTATCTCCTTCATCATACCTAACTATGTGTTTGAGAGAAATGAAATAGTCTGTCTGTTAGGTCGCTATTTGCGTTTCTCATTCTTCTGTTTAAAAGTGAATTCTAATACTCACGAGGGAACTTTTTCACATGTCCAACTCGTTTCGACTCCATTCTTTTTTTGATCACAAGTAGACCTCGATGAGATGAAAACCCTCAAAAGAATTCATTTTCTTCAAGTCTTTGTTTCCGAAATATGAAATTTTTAAGATATGCGTAAAAAAGATTTTTTCATAGTTCCATGCAGTGCTTGTCGATCTCCAATGAAACTTTTTGAAAATGAAACTACCTATGGTTTAGAAAAAATAGAGTTCTAACGACCTGTTCTGGGTTGAGAACTAGATCGAATTCTTCCGGCGGTTGCTTCTCACTGTCTATCAGTTAATAGACTCTAAAAAAGCATGAACCTGATGTCAATATTAGTGAACGTAACAACATCATCCGTCTCATGTCTCTCAGTCATAATCAACTATCTTCCGAAGTCTTTCGTCCGATGATCAGATATGCTTGGTACGCTGGTGGGCATCCAGGATCTTTCAAAACTGTGATCGAAGTGTGTTTCTCGTTCGATGCTGCAATATGTACTGCAAACTCATGCTATGGGGCCCCTTTCATCTGCTGCAGCTGGTGCCACAAACCACTGTGTTTAATTCATTTTTCTCTACGCTATCACTTCCACTAATTTTCTTCCGTATGGTTTTGTGTGATTAAAATGGCACCAGAAAGAAAATAGAGAATTATATGTACTTTATCAACTGATGGTCAGTGAGAGAAGCACCGACGGAAGAATTCGGTCTAGTCTCAAGCCAGAACAGGTCGCCAGAACTCTATTTTCTTTTTCTACGCATATCTTAAAAATTTCATATCTCGGAAACAAAGACTTGAGGAAATGAATCCTTTTGATGTTTTCATACCTCATCGAGGTCTATTTGTGATCAAAAAAAGAATGGAGGCGAAACGAGCTGGATATGTGAAAAGTTCCTCGTAAGTTGCATTTTTATTAAGAAAGTCGCTAGATTTAAGGGCGGACCCCCATAAAAGGTACTATTAAACCTTCTCAGATTGTACAGAAGACTTGACTGCATATATGCTGCATTGTTTTCGGACAGCTGATAAGCATTCACAGAGTTATAAATTAATTAAGATAAGATTTTAGCAAAAAATTTAATGGCTGGGCCTTTCTTTAAAAACTTGACTGTTTAATCAAAATTAATTATACGAACATGATTCTAGTGTACTTTGATCGCAAATCATTCTTAGTTATGATTGCATGTCAGACATTTTAGAAAAAGCTATGCTGGGATATAAATTAATCATTAATTAATCCTGATTAACGCCAACTATGAACAGTTCCGCGATTTACATTTTTATTTGCGAATCAACTGTTCTTTGAAAATAATCACACGATATATCATTTTAACTAGCTTCTCAAGCGCTACGAAACTATATATTTGCTTTTTCAAAAGAATAACATTTTGACTAAGTTATGAATTTTTTAATTTTTGATGAAAATAGTCCAAAATGGGTTATTCACCTAGTACAGGTTTTCACTGCGTTCTTGCACTTTCTTCTGAAAATTAATATTGCCATGAGATTCAGCGTGTTCGGTAATCTATGTTTTCATGATTTCAGAAGGCCCCAGAAGGAAGCATAGAGCAGTCCCGTGGCTCCGGAAAAAACGTCCAGAACTTCTGAACAAAACAAAGTGAAATCTTTGTTTAGATCTTATTTTGTAGAAGATACTTTAAACTATCTATCAATAAAAACAAATCGATTGCTTGCTATGTAAAATGTTTAACCTAGAAACTGGTCTTCCAGAGACCCTCCAAAGGATCGAGTTTAGAAATTTGTTCAAAAAATATTTTTGTTTATGAACATATAGATTAAACTGTCCTCTTTCGACTGTACCTTTTATCGTCTTTGAGTTATTTAGAAAACAACTACCGGTCTTATACCTTGGGGCGAACAGTAATATTTTTTAGGAACCTTCCATAGACTGCAGCTCAACAAATGACGATGGAGAAAAGTTTTTGCTGACAAAACTCTATCTTAGATGCCAAATGGGGTACTGAGTGTAATACTTTTTTCAGTGTAACGGAAATATTTTGAGAAAAATTAAATTTTAAGTTTTTTAAGAATTTTAAATTCTTAAATTTGATTTATCTAAAAATTTTTTTCTTACACTGAAAAATGTATTACATTCAGCATCTCATTTGGCACCTAAGGAAGACTTTTGTCATCAAAAGTTTTTCTCCATCATGCTTAGTTAAGCTACAATCAGTGCAGTGGCAAGACTCTCAAAAAATACTAGTTTCTGAGAAAATCGACATTTTAAGATTTTTTGTTAACCGAATTTCATTCAAAGTTCACAATAATTTCAGCATATAGGCAGTTGCGATCTCCTTGACCGATCAGAGCCGGTCTTATCATTAGAACATGCTTCTTAAATGAACAGTGAACTTTTTAAAAAAAGCACTTACATTTCTGTAAACTTTTAAACTTTAAAAGAAAATGGGAAGAACGTGTCAGAGAGGTTCAAGCGTCTCACCATATATGTAAGTCGACATGGGCTACAAAATGATGTAAAAAACTAGGGGATCCGCCCCCCCCCCCTTAAGTGACTTTTTGAGATAGGATATTTCTCCTCTATCATTCGTCTAACGTGAATAAATCTGCTGATGCAGGTCGTACTCTTATTTTCTTTTTTCTTATTGTTTTCGTTCCGTTTCTGTCATTCTATCTCAAAAGAAGATTTTAAAGTCAAATAGTTGTTTTGTTTCATCTTTTATGATACATTCGAAAAAAATTAAAACGTAGTACAAACTAACGCATAAAAACGTATTTTGTATTAGATTACCTGGGTATTCCTCTATCTAAAATGCTTTTCTATCCTGTGAAGACTTAATTGGAATTATTTTTTAAAGAAAAAGGCAGCAAAGTGAATTTTGCAGACCTACTTTTTCAAGGATTGTACTTCTATATTAAGAACAATTTAACTAACTTTAAAATAATTACTTACCCTCTCGATGTCTGTTGGCATTTAGTAAAATTTTCAGAATTATTTTGGCAATAAAATGAAGTGTAAATGACTATATTTCTCACACAGATTAAACTAATAAACAAAGGATTATTAAAGTCCTTCTGTCTATTTTTACCTAGTCGTGTGAAAATACGATTTTTAAAATATCCATATCAAAATCCTAATGCTATTTGTCCTCATTTCTTTTGCGTTACGAATTCAAGACAAAACAGTAACCTTTATTATGTAAAGATATATTTCTCACATTGACAAAAAAACAGGAACATGACATTAAAAGAAACTCTTAAATCCACTGCTCTTTTATTTTTTTAAACTTAAAATCTTTTTAAATAAGTTATTTGACACTATTGAAGTCAAACCGAACTTTGACTTACTTTCGATTGATTGCTTTTAACAGAAAACAGATGAAAATCTATAACTTCTATTGTTCATTAGACAGGAGCAGAATATGTTAATTTTTGAGAAAATAAAGAAAAACATGTCATCTGTAAGTGGTATTCTTGATGTGTCTTCAAACGACAAATTCACTAGTAAAAAAGAAATACGCCATTTTTAATTGTGAAATCTAAATTTGTACTAAAAAACTGTATTTCCTTTTTGTTTAAACAGCAAAATATTACCGCTTTTTGGTTCGAATTTTTTAGTAAAGATGTTAATCATTCACTAATGATTCAAGAGGGAACGTCTTTCGGTGAACTCTTCTGATTTCGTTCGTCCATACGTCATTCGATAGAAGGTTGAGAGCAGGCAAAAACCTTACTGAATATGTGTCCGAGTGATTCTGATGTTTATTGTACCATTCTTTTTCAAAAAATGATCCCAAAAAA